GAGGAGCCTCTTTATTAGTGTCAAAATATTTAGGAAAATTAAATTTCGAGTAAAAAAAGGAATTTTTAGTAAATGGTAGCAAATTACCGTTTACTAAAAATTAATGAAATAAAGAGGCCAAACAAATAATATAGAAATAGTCTGTTTTGAGCAGACTTAACAAGACCCTGGTCCGGTCAGCTTGGTTTACAAATTTTTATGTCTACTTATCTGTTACAATTTTTATTTTAGGTTTGTCATATGACGCATTAATGCAATATAAAAGACCGAAGTTTACATATTTTTTAAAATTTGTTTAACGCGTGTTTGATTGTAAATTAACTTTTTTATGTTTGAAAGGTATTTGTGCTTAGTTGCTTAGTTATTTATAATAAACTTATTAGTTGTTATTTTTAATAAATTAATTTAGTTGTGTGCATTTAACGTTTTAAGTTAACAATTTTCTTTTCTAAAGAAAAATTAATCAAGGGGATACCAAAAAATTGAAAAATTCCTGTATAAAATAAGTTAGCTTCATCTAAATCTTAATAGTTCATGTTATAAAAATTATTAAAAGGATTTAGTTGACACTTTCGTCAATTTAAAGCATGATGAAGTGTTTTTATTTTGTGTCAGTAACTAAAAACGTTTTGAGTTGAGCTTAGGAATATCGAGGAAAATGGTTCTGCTTTACACTGTTATGACTTATGTCAGTTGTAAATTACTCAAATAATGTTAAGTAGTAATTGTAAATGTTAAGTAGAAGTTGGTAAATTATTTTACATCCTCATAATTTTTATGTTAATTTTACAGACGGATTAATTTTTTCAATTTGAAGGCGTTTTTCTGAAAGGGTATAAGTTAATGTTTTGCAACATTAAATTGTGGAAAACAGCCACTATAAATTATTTATGTAACAGACCGATCATAACCCGTATTACGGGTTGCTTTTTGCTAGTTTATTCATTATAGTCAAGAAAAATATTTATAATACACATTAGTAAAATAAGTGACATTTCTTAGAATTATAGATGTCTTACAAATTGAATACATAAATTTTAAACGTAACTTTTATGTTAAATAATAATATAGTATTGTTAAACGTTATTTATTTACAAAATAATGATAAAAAGTATTCAAATTTCGAACATTTGCATAATTATTAGATAAATTAATTCGGATGAAACCGGAAAAAACTTGAAAAAAACTAAAGTTTTAGATAATTTAACTTTTTCTTGCTCATTTTTTGTTTGTTTTGTTATTTAGGTGCCTCAAGAAGACCTAACGGTCTTGTCACAGAACACCACGGAAGTGCATTAAACTAGGATGTTCACGCCTCCTTTTTTACCGTGATACGAAAATATGTTCAGAGCGAAAATATGTTCAGAGCTCGTTTTGAACCTGGATCTTCTGCTTATAAAGCAAGCGCTCTAACCACTGCGCCACGGCCGCACAAAATTCTTTCTCTTTTCTTGTGGCGTCCCAGGGCTTTGTGTCTCCCATAGGCTGCAGAATATGTTAGCTTTTGCCTAAATTCGCCATTGAGTTTATATAGTTAATACTTGCCGACAAAATTTCGATGTGCAATCAACAAAATACGCAGTACAACAAAAATAAATAGTAACATAATTTATAACAATAAAGTATTATCAATAATACCAACCTGTGACTTTTCTGTCTGTGAACAATACACAAAAAACAACAAATAAAAAGCTATATAAAATTATATTATAAAATAAATAGTTTGACATTTGATAACTAATTTAATTTGTTTATGTTAATATAATACTACTTTTGGTCAGCTAAAGATGGCCGCAAAAATTTATACAGATGTATTAGCCTGTAATAAGATGTAATTAGAGGTTAGAAAAAAATTATTATGTTTTTAGTTACATTTTAATTGACCGTTGATTATAATAATCAACGGGAAATAAAATGTAGCCTAACTAAAAATATGACTTTTTTGGGGCAACCGGCCCACCGGGGATCTCCCGATATCCCGGCGGCCCAGTCTAAGTCTGAGTTGTTATAATTGAACCCGTCATTTCGAAAAGGGCACAAGTCCATTTATTCAAACTTTTCAGGATCAACAAAAATAACTTCATTAGAAAAAAAGTCTATGGTGCTAAAGAAACTAAAGATAACAGTAGATATATAAAAGTTATACATAAGTTTTTAGAGTTTTATTTGTTATAAAAAAATAATATATAACACATATATTTCTAATTTAAATTTACGGACTTTTGTCTTTTTCGGAATGAACGCTTTTTTGTATATAAAAAACTAAAGATTATCAGAATAATAATGATTTATTATTATACAAAAACATTTATTGTTAGGTAATCATCAATTATTTCTCGGAATTCATTGTTTGCCGAAGTTGTTGGCAAAGCAAAAACCATTGTATAGAAGTTTTGGTACTCTTCTATTGAATATGGAATATATTTTTTCATATTTTTTTCAAATCTGATATATTTTTTTCATTGGTAGGTAATTTTCCAACATATGCAGGACAAACTTAATTAATGGTAAGGTTGACCGGGTACCCATTCTTTGTAATAGCTTGAAATTATAACTGACTTAGCAATCTATGGATTCACATGTTTTCACTAAACCTGCTGTGGTATTAGAGAATGTGAAATGTGAAATTTTAGAAATACGAAAAGTAAGTGCCCCCTGGGTACTCCTTTTTTATAGGAATCCACAGATAGCAAAAGTTTCTTATAATGGTTTAGCCACCATTTTTTTACATCGTTGGTGTGTAAATCCGATCATTTTTTTGAATGTCGTTTTGCTGTTCCAAACATTCTATCGTTTGGCGAGAATGAGTGACCTCTTTTTGGTATGTAATATTGTATCTCATTTATATTGCTATCTAGTTCAGCTATCAGTGATGAAAGTATTCGGAGCGTGGCATGATTTCTGTTTTGGCCTGCACAACCATCAGAAAATAGGTGCAGTTCTTTGGCTTTGTTGCCAATATTTTTAAAAATATAATTCAGCACAAAAGTACATACTTAGCTCACGTACTTTTGTTAATGTATCTCCAGGTAATGCGTTGCATCGTGATCACAGAGATCTACCTTTGTAATCTATAGGCTGCTCTTTTTTTTTAATAAAATGCATAAATGTCTAACTTGTTTCATAGAAATTCCATGCATACAGTAAAAAGATTTCTTGTGTACTTTTCTTATCACACCTTCAATCTAAATATGATAAATAAAAGGAAATTCTTTTTTCTTAGGTTCTTTAGATCCATCTTCCCTCTTTTCAATCAATGACTGCAAGTATGTGTCTTGAGCATTTATACAATCAAATTTGTTAACAAACTGAATTGTACTTTCTATAAAATCTTCAGATACAAGCTCCATACACTTTGAATTACATCTGTAAATAAATAGAAATATTGAGTTAATATTGTAATAATTATATATCAAGATATTTAACCTCCAATTATTGGTGGTAAAACATAAGTAAATAAGCATAAATTTGAGAACGAATATAGTCATACTCTAAAGAACAAAAAACTAACCTACAAGAAGCACCCGTTTGGCTTGGTGCCACATCATTTCCTTTGTGGTTTTTATAAGTTTCTCCAGCAATTTTGGCTTTTTTTATTTTTTTGTGTTTATAATTTCCACTGTTTCTTATACCAGACACTCTTTTTCTAGATCTATATGCATTTTCAGGAAGTTCGCCATTTTCCATTTTTGTTACAAAAAAAGTGAAATTACGTCACTACAGTTGCGCTTTGTTTCACTTGAAAAAGGCATAAGTCCGGGACTTGTGCCATGTTCAAACAGACTTTAATTTTCATTTGCATTTAAAGTTGACTTGTGGCATACGAAAATGTTTCTCCTTCAAAGGGAATATGTAAAGCACTTTAATAAATAAAATTGCATTAAAAAGTGAAATTTGAAAAAATTATGACTTGTGTCCTTTTCGAAATGACGGGTTCAATTATGAAATAAGATATAACATAAATCATAAAACTTTGAATTGTTGCAACTAAATCACTAATAGTGTCCTATAAAAAAACAAAAACTAAATATTCTTTGCTCAGTACCTTTAAGCCTTTAGTTTATTGCCAATCTTTAGTAAGAAAAACAAGTAAATAGTTAAATATATTTTTTTTTTGTCATAATAAAAATGATGGTATATGGTCTGTGTCATTAATCATGCATAATAATGATAGGTAAGCGTTTGGTGCCAATTCAGGTTACTCATTAATGTAGATTTTGGTACTGCTTGCTCCTAACTTTTAGTAGATAGGTTGAATCTAATACAAAATTGTATGATTATTTAAATTAATTATTTTAGTTACAATAAAGGAGTTTATAATATAATAAAATAATCATTATAGTTATAAATATAAATGAATAGTTGAAAACATTTTAGACACTGCTGCATCTTAAGAATTTTTTACCACTATGTTTAAAGTACAGGAAATAAGTTACCTGTTTAAAGTGCAGGAAATAAATACCTTGATAAGTTGTTACAGCTTTATAGCTGTAATAACTTATCAAGGAGAAAAATAATAAAGTATTGTAAAAATATGTAATTGTAGAAGGATTTTATAAACTGTGAATAGTTTGGAAAGAAAGAAACATTCTAGCAGTGGTATTATAATAAAAATACTCAGTGTTTATCTACAAAACAGGTTAGCACCAATGTAAGCATTCTATTGTCAAATATTGCTCTTTTCATAACATCATACTCTTTTTTGTAACATCGTGTATAAACGAGGACACAGTATTATGGAAACTTGTCCTAACCACACAAGTATAGAACCATAGACGTTAAACTTGATTTTAAAATTTTTTATTCTTTTGCACCTATTAATAGCATCCCTTACTTATCGAATGAGAAACACCTTTATATAAAAATTTTACTATTTTCATTAAAATAAAAAGATAATAGTAAAAGATAAAATCAGTTATTGCAACATGGTGTTTTGAAAAGGATACGAAATTTGTTAACAAAAAACTTAATAAAAGGCATATGATACTTAATGCCTTAAATTTTAACTTATATTGCATAACATTTTTTAGTCTATATATAAAATGGATTTAAAACGTGTTTTATCAATACAAAGTCATGTTGTGTCTGGATATGTCGGAAATAAAGCTGCCACATTTCCCTTACAGGTATTCAAAGCCAAATTTATTTATTTTACTCATTGCACAAAATATTTACACAATACAAGCTAAAATTATAGTGTTTTTATAAGTATTTGTGTAATGTATACATAAATATATATATATATATATATATATATATATATATATATATATATATATATATATATATATATATATATATATATATATATATATATATATATATATATATATAATGCCCTATTAAATAAATAAACAAATCCTATTTGTTTATTAATGAGCACTCTTATACGTACAAGAGTTTTTGTATATATTTATATATTTTATTACATATTGAAAAAATTAAGATATGCCTCCGAGTTATAAAATACACCACCGAGTTATAAAATAGGTTTTTGTTAAGAAAAATTTGGATTTTTCACCAATTTCAGAAGATTCTGTAGACTAATTTCTTATTTTTTTTAACATGGTCTTTTTATGTCATTAATATTCAATCCAACATATTATTTAAAAGAATAAAAAATTTTATAGGATTAATTTTAAGGTCCCTGCCAGGAGTTTAAAACACCCAACATTTTTGCCTAAAATCGAACTGATAACTGGGACCCTAAAAATTATATATATATTTTTTTTGCTCAAACTTATTTTCATATAAATGGTCAATTTATAAATCGATTTGCGAGTTCAATTTCAAGAATTAATAAAATATGAAACACCCTTTTATATATATATATATATATATATATATATATATATATATATATATATATATATATATATATATATATATATATATATATATATATATATATAAATTTATGTATACATAAAAATTAATGTATTTATATATAATTAGGTATATATATAAATTTATGTACAAATGTAAATTTATGTATATATATAAAATTATTAATATATAAATTTTTGTATATATTTCCAAAAATTCTGCTATGCACGATATAAAATAATTGAGAAACAAGACTAATTTTTTCCACTTATTAATAAAAAACTTTTTTTTTTAACAAATAAAATTACAATACATGTTTCGACTATTTTATAGTCATCTTCAGTTAGGTTAAAAAAAAACTTATTTAATTATATATACAAATATTGTACAGTAATAAAATATAAATTACATCTTAAATTAGTATGTGCTAAATATAGATACATCACATATACAAACATCTCCATGCTAATAACAATAGTTTTAATAATTATAATAATGACTGTTTCTCAATATTGGATTCTGCCTCTAATAAATTTAAGCTTAAAATTAAGGAAAGTTTGTTCATTAAATGAAAAAATCCAGATATGAACAAACAGTTAAACCATTATAAAATATTACTTTTCACATAATAGTTACCATTTTATTAGTCACATAATAGTTATTATTTTATTAGTCACCTTTTATTAAATATTTTAATAACTTTTTTATTGTAATTTTTTTTTGCTATTACCTATTTTGACGTAATTAATATAAGATTAATAAGTAATTTATATTTTGTTACTGTATCATATTTGTATAAATAATTTTTTTATTGAATATAAAATAATATAATATTGAATATGAATATATAATATTTATTTAATATATAATAGTTTTATTAAAAAAGAAAAAGGTTTTTATTAATAAGTGGAAAAAATTAGTTTTGTTTCTCAATTGTTTTATTTGTGTATATATATATATATATATATATATATATATATATATATATATATATATATATATATATATATATATATATATATATATATATATACAACCTCGGAATTAGGGTCGGCATTCAGCAATGTCAACCTTATAGTGTTGAGGTCTGCACTTTTTTGCCGATCTCATTTCTATGTTTTATAGTAGCACCTTGATATCAAATTTTTTTTGCCGACCTGTTGCTGATGTCATTTTAATATATATATATGACATCATTTATATATATATATATATATATATATATATATATATATATATATATATATATATATATATATTTTTAATTATCTTTGCTTCCAACAAAACTGCAAGCAACCACTAATTAGTGTTGGAAGTTACTGGAAGAGAAAAGATGAAGATTGTAGAGCAAGATAACGATTGACAGACCACTTAAAAGATTGCAAGTTATATCAATCAGGAAAACAAGATAAAGGAAGCGAATTCCAAAAAATTGATGTTCGAGGTAAAAAACTAGACGAATAAGAGTTTTTGGAGCACTTAGGAACAGTAACAGAAAAAGGATGAGACTTAATTGAATAACGAGTAACACAAGAATGAATTTTAGTAGATGGCACAAGAGACGCTAGCTCTTTAGAGCAGTGCCCATTATAGTATTTGTAGAAAAGAGAAAGAGAAGCAACATTACGACGATGTGACAGAGGTTGAAGGTTGGCTGCAAGAGCAGGTCCAACTATGTTTACAATGCGTAAGAAAGTGACGAGCTCGATAAAGAGAAGCAACTTTAGCAGATGCTAATTTTGCAACGGATTTGATATAAGGTTTCCAAGGAAGATCAGAAGTAAGAGTTAATCCTAGAAGATGAAGGGTAGAAGACTCATTGAGTACATTACTGTTTATAAATATAGGAAGGTCTAAATTATTGCAATAACGATTGGCCGAAAAAAATTGAGTTTTATCTGAATTAAAGTTCACCAACCACTGTGAGCCCCATGCTGTAGCAAAAGTGAGATCCTTTTCAAGCTCAGATGCCCCCTGCAAGCAATCAGAGGGAGTTTGCTTCTTATCGTGACAAGAATAAATGGTAGTATCATCAGCGAACAA